GTTTTGGGCGAAGCCCAAAGAAATAGTTTCCTAGCATCTCGCATATTTATAAGCAACGGTACTCTAATATGCGACATCCAAGACCGGAAACATTTTCCACACTACGAGCACGTTTTGAATCAAGTGGAGTAGTGGAATATAGTATAAAATGTATAAGTTATCCAAGTGTCACCAATGAGGTGGATCAGTTGGCGGTTCTATTAAAGTTGCAGGAAAATCCCCATTTAAGTGCACAGCAAATTGGAACAGGAACTTATATATGCGGAACTTCTGTCCAAATGATTATTCACATCGTACCATTCATATCACCTATGCTCAGGATTTAGCAGCTCAATTGGAGTTTAGCAGAATAATGCTAAATAAAGTTAGTGAACACACTACTTTCCTGGATAAGGTTCTTTTTAGCGATGAGGCAACTTTTAACAGCATAGGTGTTGTCAACAGGCATAACATGCACTATTATGCCACGCAAAACCCTTACTCGGTTAGGCAAATAGACTTCCAAAATAAACACCTTACATCCCAGTAGCTAGTTACCAAAACCCCATTGTATGTTATATCAATCTTCTTCTTTTGAATTGGTTTATCTAAATATGCAATAAAATTTATGGCATTCCATTTAAAAATCACAACTTCGATATGTAGGTCAAAATTGGGACACCCTGTATAATTGCCAATATTTAAGATATGTGCCCTCAAATGTCATGTATAAGATGCCATAAATAGATTTTCGAAAAATGTGTTTGTTCACGAGTACTCACATGGATGGGCCACCCTGTAGACGTTAGAGAGGTTATTTGTATACTAAGTGACATATAAATCCGAACACCCAGTTTAAAAGGTTTTATTTTAATAAAAGTTGGTTAATGTATTTATCTTACTGTAAATAACAAGTGAAAAAATTGTCAGCCTTATCAGTTGGACATTCCGGTTTTTATACTGCTTTTTTTTAATTCACTAACGCTCTAAAAATGAATATTTCAGCCACAGTAAAGAATCAACGTTGGCGGATTTTGGTTCTTGACATCCTTTACGATCGGTTACGATGCCTAAAGTACGGAGACCTGTACGATTTCGTCAACTTAGTGAGTTTGATAGGGGCCGTATAGTGGGACTTCAGGAAGCTGGACTTTCTTTTCGGGAAATTGCAGTTAGAGTGCAAAGAAGTGTAGACACTGTGGTTAGGTGTTGTCAGGCATGGCTTCGAGAAGGCCGTACGCAAAGAGCAAGGGGCACTGGACGCCGCCGTAGAACAACAGAGCGAGAAGATCGCCGCCTAAGATTATTGGCCTTAAGGGACCGTATCTCCACTACCAGGTCCATTGCAAATGAATGGTTTGCAGAACACGGAAGACCTATTGGCATGCGAAGTGTTTATCGACGAATGAGAAGTTTTGGCTTGTTTTCATACCGGCCACACTGGGTCCTCCCTTTAACTCGAGAACACCGACGTAATCGCCTTGAGTGGTGCAGACAACGGTCACTCTGGGATCAGGAATGGAACAGTATTGTCTTTAGTGACGAGTCTCGATTTTGTTTAGGCATGCACGATGAACGTGCGTTAGAAGGCGACGTGGTGAAAGGAGGAATCCACAGTTTTTTTGTTGAAAGACATGTTCATCACACTGTTGGAGTTATGGTTTGGGGTGCTATAGCTTATGGTTCCAGGTCACCTTTAAGCTTCATCAGAGGTAACATGAACGCGCAGCGTTATATCCACGAAGTTCTAGAACCCCATCTTTTACCCTATCTTGACACCCTGGCAGATCCAACTCTCCAACAAGATAATGCCCGACCACATGTTGCAAGAGTCACGATAGACTGCTTTCAACATAATGATGTCACATTGTTACCATGGCCACTAAGATCTCCCGACTGATCCCCAATTGAGCACGTGTGGGATATGATGGGTAGGAGATTGCTCAATTTGCAACGTCCTCCTCAGACTCTAGAAGCACTTCGAGAGGAGTTGGTGACTGCCTGGAATGAGATACCACAGGAGGACATTGACCACCTGATCAGAAGCATGCCTAGGCGCGTTGGAGAATGCGTAGCACATCAGGGTGCATCGACACATTATTAAAGGTCAAAGGGCTTTAAAGCAGTGCAATCATTTTGAAATTTTTATCATTTACTTATTATGCTTCATTAAGTACTTACACAAAATTTTATTAAAATAAGACCATTTAAAGTGGGTGTTCGGATTTATATGTCACTTAGTATATTTATCTAGATTCGATCATATTACGAATCGTTTTTAAAATGTTTTTTAATCCATGTATAAACTACTGAACGCTGGAAGTGCAGCCATTATGATTTTTGTAAAAAGTCTAATGAATATATTATTTTACCATTATTAAATGCCAAAAGATAAACTTTGAGCGATATCTGTTTTGTCTATTGTTTTGCCTCTGGCTGCGCTGCCACTAAAATAATTTTCAGAAACTGTAAACCTTTTTTGCGCTGGGTCTATACCAGTGTTTTTCCAAGTGGACGGTAACGCCCCACTGTGTGGCGACGCAAAGAATAATTTTTCCAAGGTTATAAGGATATTATTTGCTCTCAGAGGCACTGATGCAGACGATCCCCCCTCTCTTCATTTTCAATTGTCGATATCACCTCCCACTTTCCAAAATTGTCATGATGGAATTCGTTTACTGAAGCAGTCACATTATATTTTCAATAGCAGATACTCCCCAGGATGGATATCTGGAACAGCTTTGGATGGCTCTATAGTCGATATTTCGAAAGATGACGATTACGTCATAATTTTAGTCTGTAGTAAAGACAAGCGACAGCGATTTGTGAATATTTTTAATGAAGTTTCAGATATTTTAGACAGAGACAAACAGAATTTTATTGTCTCAACAAACTGTATTGCTAATTTGCATGTATCAGACAAAGATAGACGATGTTTTCATGTTGCAGATGAGTAGTTGGGTTACGTTAAAGCAGGTTAGGTTGTTTTCTAATAATACCTTGGTCCTTGGTGTTCCTGTCTTAAGGTATTCAACTCATAACTGTTGTTTTCAAAACAAAAACTTCCCACTAAAATTATTACTAAAGTATCACTCAAAACTATGAAATAAAGTGAAATAACCTAACTTCGCAAAATCATAAATAAATTTGTTGTCAATATGTTCCTGACATCGTGATTTTATCATCGACGTACGTCCATTGATTACTTCAGTACAATTTATGGTATGACGTAATAGTCATCTTTCGTGATTTTGACCATAGAAAATAATTGGTTTAGAAAGGTGAGCAGTAGGCAAAATAAGTTTGAGAGCCCATGGCCTAGCATTGTTTCAAGTTTCTTCAAAATCAGAGGCTTACTTTCTGAATTATAGAGAAGTCAAGGATTAGCAGACATATATTCTAACCAGGGTTAAACAAACAATGTTTTTAGGAGTAATAGTCGATGAAAGACTCAGCTAGAGAGATAATCTAGACCAGTGGTCGCCAGCCCGTCGATCTCGAGCTACCGGTGGCTGACAACATATTTTAAAAAGGTGTAAAAATCATGGAAGCATACGTAAGTTTTGAAAATTCTCATAACAAACACAAGCAGCGTCAACACTGCGGCGATCGATCTGTTCGAGAACGATCTGGATTACTTTGAACGGAATAGATATGCAATTCGCGGCGACAGTGCGCTCCATTTAAAACTGAACAGCACAAAGTCTATCGGTTTCGTTAGGCTTGTCCTGAAATTAAAAACATTATGAGCAGTAGTAAGAAGATGAAGACATACCATTTCCATTCGGAATGGAAGAACAATATTTCCTTACAGAAGTTAAAGGTAAAAATGTATGTTTTCTATGTAACACATCTGTTTCCGTTGCTAAAAAAGGGAATACCGAGAGGCAATAGAACTGTTGAAAAATCATTCTCATTACGTTCTGCAATCAGAACGGAAAAACAGAAACAAATAAAAAATCAGTTAATTGGTTAACAGACTATGTTTTTAAAAACAACCGACAAAAGTAAGGCTGCAACTGAAGGATCATACCGGGTGTCCCAGATAATTACACACAAGAAGAAACCTTATGAATGATAAAACGTGCGTTTTTAGAGGCTACAGATTCATTATTTGTCAAGGACGAGATAGTATCTGCTATAAGATCTATGCAACTTTCTGCTGATATAGTGATGAGATGAGTAGAAGAACGAGCAATGGTATAGTTTAACAGTTAAGAAATGACTGCGATAACTGTGCTTATTTTTCACATATGTTGTTGACACCTCTCAGATGGCCGTGTTCGTCAGGATAGTTTTTAGTGTTCTTACGATTAAAGATCCTTTGAAGTTTATTCCACTAAAAGGACAGACTTGTTTTCTTCTCTAAAAAATTTTATTTCTCCAGAGAAAATTCCAATATCGAAAATGGTTGGGCTTGACAACCAATAGCGCTTCGGCTATGGTGGGTCCTGATAAGGGTCTCGTCGGGTTATGTCGTAAAGATGAAAGTCTTTCTCTGTTACCACCGCATTATACATCGGCAAGCATTATGTGGACATTTTCTGAAACTAAACAGCGTTATGAAATTGGTAATAAAAATTGTGAACGAGATTAGAGCCCAAGCGTTACAAAGAAGATTATTCAAAACCCTGGGTCTTTACGGGGAACTACTTCTGCACTCTGAAGTCCGATGATTAAGTAGGGGATGAGTGCTGCAACAATCATATCTGCCATAGTTCATTTTTTCAAACAACGTGAACTTCGGAACTGGAAGATTCAATCTGGCTTAGAGATTTCGGTGTTTTTGTGGACATTACAGAGAAATTAAATGGACCTAATTTGCTGCTTCAGGGGAGAGACAAAGAACTAGCAGAAATGATTTCTGATATAAGAGCGTTTATCAAAAAGTTCGAGTTTTGGGAACAAAAACCTAAGCGATGACGATACCAGGCATTTTCCTGTACTATCAGAAAAGATATCTCAAGGTCCATTAGAACCATATGAGTAATTACCATGTAGAAATAATCTGTAACTTGAAGGATGACTTCAAAAACTGTTTCAAGGATTTCAACGAAATTGCTATAGTCGCGCAATTTGTTGTTTCACCCTTCATGGAAATTGATATCCAACAGTTTGCAACTTCTGTTACGCAGAATATTAGCGAAGACATCGCTGCGACAGAAATGGAAGTGATTGCGTTTCAAAATTATTTAGCTTTAACACTATTAGTCTCAAATACTAAATGTATCTGGCCTTCAGTAAGTAAAGATAAATATTCAGTTTTATGTCGTGTTACGTTGGAAGTGAAACTGTTATTTAGTTCAACCTATTCGTATGAATCTTATTTTTCAAACATTAAAAGCAAATACCGTAATAGACTCACAGATGAACATTTGGATAATTGTATTCGAATGGCTGTATCAAATTATACTCCAAACATTAAGAAAATTGTCAGTGAGTCTGAGTGTCAGGCTTCTCATTGAACACGCATTTTTTATCTGCACATGTTTTTGTTCGAAATCGTGCGTTGCTTTTTTTATTTCTAATTACCTTTATTAAATCGTATGTGACATGGTGACGAAAAATTTTGTTAATTTTTCATACACCTACGATTGGTAGGAATGGATGTAGTTATGCAGTCTGTGTTAGTTATTAGTTTATTTAAATTTATTTGCATGTATTAGTAAAATATGCGCATACAACTGTGTATACTTTCATTTAAGTTGGCTTACATTGCTTACGACTAGGTGGATCACTGAAAAGGTTGGCGACCATTGCTCTAGACCAGAGTTCCCCAAACTTTTCTGTGTCGTAGACCCCTTGCCATGTTTTTCCGTGTTGGGTAGACCCCCTACTTACCTGATATTGATTTCTTGTAAATTTCAAACTGTAGTGAAGTTTAGTGTTAAAAACTTAAAGTAAAAACACACATACATTTATTAATTGAATTTAAATTAAAGCTACTCAAAATAAAATTTTGTACCTGTATGTAAAATATACGTAACATCAAATAAACAGGTGTCTGACCAATAAGTACCCGCAATGGGAATAAGTGCCCGCATTGAAAAAAAATAAGAGGGATAAAATAAAAAAAAGAGAAAAATAATAAAAAAAAGAAGTTTTTTACTTAAAATAGTACAATAAACGAGTTTGTTTATTAATTATAACATAAACGTATGTTCTACAATAATTTCACTGTTAGTTTGATTAAATTCCGCTTCTTATACGTTTAAGTTATCTAAAAATAGGCAAAAAATTAACGAATTTTAGTGTGTACCTATCCTTGAATTTTCAGAATAATTTAAAAAAAAATATTTTCTGTAAAGGGGAGTTCTTTAAAAAAATCAATGCGGGCACTTATTCCCAATGCGGGCATTTATTGTTCAGACACCAATAAACATAAAATAAACTATAAATAAAATAACATAAGCAATAAGTCAATATTTTTAGTAAGAAGGATGAACCTGATGCTTTAATAATAAATTATCAACATTTGGCGTCAATTTTGTAAGGGTTAATCTTAAATCTCCTCGGCTAATGATGTCCAGTCTGTTTCTTTTCTTCGTTAGGAGATTGGTAGCAGCGCTGAACCCCCTTTCCACTAGGTAAGACGATGGAAAGGAAATTAAAAATGTCCTCGCTATATTCCATAATACGGGATAAGTAACGGGTATGTTGTTTTGCAGCCAGAATTGCTGATATCCGTTTTTAAACTGAACCTTAAGTTCTTCGTTTGTACTTAGTTCAGTCAGTTCCTCTTGTATTATGACATTCGTTTCTTTTATGTCACCATATGGATTAATTATCCACGGTGGTATTACCATAGTCAAAATATCCTCAACCCTAGAACCAAAATCTGAATAGAGGGCATTTAAATGTTGAACGTAAGTTGAAACGTCGTCTACCTTGTCTGTGACAAATGGGGGAACTGAGAAAATGCGCCACGTCCAATATTTTGCTTCATTAGTTTAACTCTGGCAAGAAACGCTGATAAGATGGACTCTGTTTTAATCAAATTTAAACTGTCGCCTTGTAATTGCAAATTAACTATATTAAATTTTGTAAACAAATCTGTTAAATAGGCGATGTCTGTTTTCCTCTTCATTAAATTTTCTTTTAAAATTTTATCTTTAGTATCCAGAAATTCTAAAATAGTCTCAAAAAGTGCAAAAAATCTTGTCAAACATAAGCCTTTCGACGTCCAGCGTACTTCAGTGTGAAGGAGTAATTGATGAAAGTGTTCGTCATTTTCTTCACACAACTGCGCAAATAACCGCGTATTCAACTCGTTGCTTCGGATTCGGTTTACTGCATCAATGACTAAATGAAGTGATTCATGCAATCTGACACTAAAATTTTTAGCAATTAAATGTTGACGATGGATGACGCAATGTATTGCTCTGACACATTTTGTTTTAAATAGCTTATAAATCCATGATAACGTCCAACCATGGCAGGTGCTCCATCTGTAGCTACTGATATTATATTTGATAAAGGAATTGCTTTTTCAATGAAGTAATCATTCAAAACATGAAATATTGATTCACCTTTAGTGTCGGTTATCAAAGTTCTTGCGAAGAGCAGTTCTTCGTAGATTTCTTGTGACGTCGAAGCGAACATTCTGTCCAGTGTAGGTATCTTCTGAAATTTATCTTTGAGTGTTTCAAATCTCTCTCTGTTTTATCAGGGTGGCATCTTCCCAGATGATCTTGCAGTTTAGATGGTTTCATAGCCTCATTGCCCAAAACTTTGTTGCATAAAAGGCACATAGGCGATTGTTTGTCCGGCAATGATGGAATGAAGCCAAATTTCAAATAATCAACACTGTACTGTCTACCTTTCTTTTTAGATTGGGACATGGCATCAGTCATCTGTGGGCAAAATTAAATTATTTAAATAAGACAGAAAATCCAGCAGCTGCATATTAAAAATATTTTTTGATTTTTCCGAAAACATTCCAAAATTCGAACATATTCTTGCAACAATTAGCTCGAATTACGGAGATTGCACTGTAATTATATTACCGATTGCTAAAACTTTCAAAAGAAACTATTTAGGAGTACTCGTGTAATTTTGCATGATTGAATATTTAACTACTAATAACTAAAGTCATGATTGGCGTAATTGATCTATCTTTGCTAACTACGAGTACAAAACTAAAATTTAATAAAAAATAATGTACTTACTTTTCTCCAGCACTCTCAAACAAAATAACACTGACTCACTATAATTTGTGTGATATACTATCTGTTTATATTTTTTAAAATATTTTCTTAGCACTTTCCTTTTCAAGATTCAGGAAACGAATAAAAGTATTTGTCCCACATTCGTATTTATAGAGTGACGAATTGAACAAGTCAGTGCAAGGTAGCGAATTTCTGAGACTGCGACTCTCAGGTTTTTACAAGTTCAAAATGTATTGCGGCCACAAAGCGAATACCAACATCCTACAACTTACAGAATTTTATAAGCATATATAATAAATTTTTTACTTCATAGGTACGTTTATAAATAATGTATATGTTTTGATATTATAAGATAGTATGATGTAAGTAAATAGGTACTATCAGCGTATGTGTTGAGATCCACTAGCGTGGACCCCCATATTCATTTCATGGACCCCAAAATTTTTTTTCGCTGACGTAGACCCCTTGCAGGTTGTCATAGACCCCTAGGGGTCGATATAGACTACTTTGGGAATCAGTGATCTAGACTATGTCATGACAAAACTAGGTTCGTGCGTTAAAAAAAATAATGAGTACTAAGCATTAAGTGAATGTTTATTTTGTTACCGCATATTCTCTTTTGGAATACCTTGTCCTCTCCTGGGGTTACTCTCTGGATGCTCAGCGCGGAAATTGCAAAAAGGATTATGAGGTAGGCAGTTAATTACTTTGTATCGAATTTATCGTAATTTTCAGTTTAATTGTGCTTTATCCTGTATTGTGATAGTTACTGTATTTTGTTTCATATCCGCGAGGCAGACCTGAATTAAAGTTATTATTATTATTATTATATTATCAATGACGAAAATAAGTGACATGATTTTTCGTGATATGCAAAAATAAATCAAAATATTTCCTCCATGGTGGCCTGAAAAGTAAAAATAACGCCACGTGACAAACCGCAGCTACAGTCACAAAAATTTATCTTAAAACGCACATACTCAATTCACATCAATGGACCACGATAGTACAAGGCCTTGATGTATGGCATCTTTTCCATGAACTTGTCTTAAGAACAATCGTGTCAAACATAAATCCGTCTTCAATTCCCTCCACGTTTCGGAAATCAACTACAGGCGAATAAATAACTGGAAATTTCTGACCTACACGCACTTTTTCCCGGATCCTGTCCGCCCAGTTTCTCTACACATAATTTTTGGAGGAGGATCGATAAAAGGCGAAGAGTGGAGTGAGAGACGAGGCAGGAGAAATGGCGCAAAGGAATGCCTTCGGCACCGAAGAACGTCGAATAATAGTACAGTGATCGGGTTGAATATTCTATCGAATCTTCAGAAAAAGTAATGGCATGCTGAAATTGGACATGGCGCTGGGCGTTTCTTGTTAGTCAAAATACAGCACTGTGTTTTGAAAGTACTAAGCCTTCCTCTGTGTTTCGAAAATTCGTCGTCTTAGTTGTTTCTCATCTTGGGCTTCCCAGCCTCCATGATAAGCCTTCCTAGACGGTAAAGCCCAAATATCCTCTATTGGGCGAGCTGCGGCAGGTTTGGACGATTATCGTTTTTGGGAACCCAGTTTTGGATATCTCTTGAGTAAAGGCCTGATACTAGGCCTGGCCAAAACATGATATGGTGATTAGCATGAAGTTCGTGGACAAACTGAAGCAATTTGGAAGGAGTTATCAATATAGCTCTGACTATTCAAAGTTTTACTCCGCACTCTTCCCACAAAGGGTAGGGATATACCTCTGTTAGAAACTGCTCACCAGACAAGGATTTTATCTGCAAATTTCGCTTTATTTTGGTATCTAAGATTCCTCTACGTTGTCGGTATGAAATCCATCGTTCCCCTTTATTTCAGAATCACTCAAAGTCAAATACTGTTGGTCATCTAAAATAGTTATTTTTCCATTGGCAATACGTACTCGTATCTTGGTATACAAAGAAGTTGCGCTTGAGAGTAAACTGGTCGACTTCTTTTTCAAGGTACTCTAGAAGCTGCCGACTTATGAACCTCTCCATCACCTTAATTATCACAGAAAGCAGAGCTATGGGTCTGTAGTTGTAATTGTCGGTCTTAGATCGTTTTTTGGATGGTCTGGACATGAGCCAATTTCAAGTTTTCTGGGAAACTGCTGGTTTCCGTAAGACATCTGGAAGAGACGTGAAAGTACTGGAGCAAGTTCCGCCGTATATGTCTTCAGTACAATGGCAGGAATCGACTCCGGACCAGACGCTTTGTTGATGATTAGCGACAAGAGCACCCGTCTGGTAATAGGAACATAGGTCAAGCCTCACCTC